ATATATATATAATTAAAATACCTTAATAAAAATCATTTATCTATTTACTTGGATCGATCTCTCTCATCTTGCACCAATCTTTAACCTCTCCTATCAAGCTGAAAATCTCTATATTATGATCATGATTCAATAAAACTTTTCATTAATCATATATATGATTATTTGCAATATAATATATTAATTTATTAAAGCGTTAAACTTGTCTTTATAGAGTTTTTGGCCTTTACCCTAACCTCACGCACATGAGCCACATGATCTCTTCTTTTTCTGTCAATCGGTAAGAGTTTGACCTAGAGCAATGCGATTTCTTCCTCCTTTTCCTCTGCACACGCCGCAGTCAAGGATCATCGACTTCAGCTTCCTCTTCTTCATTCTTGGTTCGAATTCAAGGCAACGCACGCTTTTCTTCTTTCTACTCTTCCTTTGCATGCATGAGGGCTCAAACCCTATTCCTCCTCTTCCTTCAATTTCGACTCACCTAGACACGACACCTTTACTTTTTCTTATGGCCTCCTACTTCCTCTGTAAGCAGAGCTCGAATCTCCTTCCTTCGATTGTGGCTCAATCACAGACCTCACGCCACATCGACATCGCCTTCTCCTGCTAGGGTTTGCCGTCGAAATATGTAAGAGATTCACACAACTCTTTTTTCTTTCTCTCTTTTCACAGTTGTTGCTTCCTTTTTTCTGGGACTTCTTCATTTACTCGTAGAGAAACAACAAATTAGGGTTGTAAACGAAATCTCCCCCTTCTTCCTTCTCATGTGAGACTTCGTTTCCTCATCCTCGCTCATTTTGTTCTGGTTCGTTCTAATAAGTGATACAACTATTATGTTATATCTGAGAGAATGCATCAACTTATTATTATTATTTTTTTCTTATAACTCTTTTTATTTAATTATTTGTTTAGCAAAACGTTCAATCATTACAATTAAGTCAATTTTAGAATGTTGTTAGTATTATTTTGGTCATTGGTAAACTTTGCTCTACATATCTCTCATTTCTTTTACCAGTAGTTACAATGAAGGAACTTACTTCCTCTCCCCCATAGGTAAACATTCCTTCAACCCAACTTAAACTTATCTCTGATACCCTTGGATTCTCTTTCATCTCCGTAAATAATAAATTTACTAGATTAGACATTTTGTTTGTCCATATAAATTTTGGGCTATATATTATTTTTTTTATAAGACAAACCCTTACGATACAAGCTTTTTTATTAGTGTATCTTTAATGGATTTAGTATTATGGACTCTATTTTGATTTAGGACCCATTTGGGGCAGCTTATAAGTGCGGCGTTGTTTTTGAAAACGCTGCATAACCGTTTGTTTTCCGCATATTTGAAAATGTTGTCTGTCACGTTTAGTTTTTTTACAAGAAACACAGACCGCAGGTTGACTCCAGTGATCAACCAACGGGTCGCATTTCAAGATAAATTACTTATCCTGAAATGTTGAAGCAGCCGCAAATAGACCCTGAGTATAGTAAAATTATTAAAACTTTTAAATCACCCTTTGGGAATGCTTGGCTATAAGTACCATTTGGTAAATCTTATGAAATTGAATTTAGTAAATCCCAAAGTGATTTAATTCTAAAAATTGATTCACATTATAATTTTTAAATTGAATTAAAGCACGTGAGACTGTTTAATAATTTATTGTAGGATTTAAATATTTTAATTGAATTGAAATTTTAATATTATATATTAATGATGTAATTAATTAAGTTTCATAAAATTTAATTTAAATATTAATTTTTAATTATACTAAGCAATAATTATGCATTTATTCAAGTAATTAATCATTAATAAGAATTTCAATAAACTAATTATTTATTAAATAATCATTTAACATTCATTAATTAATAATGTAATTATGTATTAATCCAACTAATGATTAAATAAAAAAATATTAAATTAATGAAATGAATATGTAAATTATTTTTTTTTGTTAATTACATGTAAATCTATATAAATGTAATTAATTTATTAATTTATCAATTAATTAGCATTAAGTAAAATTGAAGACCTGAATCCTTTCTACCCCCTCGCCACCCTCTTCCCTCTCTTGCGCGAAACCCTCGCGAGGTCCATCCCCTCGCTTCTGGTTTCGCCCGAAACCGTCGCCTACCTTCCCTTCCCCTCCTCCCCACACTCCCATGTGATCGAAACCTTGGCGATACAGTCGCGATTAGAGCTAGTTGGGAAGGCAGCGACGGGATCGCAGCGTTCAAAGACCTCCGAAACTCCCATCTTTCGTCTCAGTCTGGTCCGCTCCTGTCGAAACCACTAAGGAAGGTAACCCTTATCTTTCCCCCTTCCTCCTACCCGCCGTTGCGCACCTTAGCTCCTGTTAATCTGGTAAATCCGTCTTCCAACAAGACTCACTGAATCCTGGATTTATGGAAAAATGGGATTTAAGAACCTGCAGGATTTAAAGCTGTTATTTTTTCTGTTTGGCAGGATTTAGGTTAAATCCTGCTTAAATCCTGCTCAAATCCTACTACCAAACAGCCCCTTAGACTCTATCTTCTGTAACATAGTCTACCTATAAAACTATCAAATACAAGATATTGCTTAAGATTAAGTGCAATGGGTTATTTCTACCATCACCTATTATAGTTTAGGATCGAGATTTGAGTGCTAAAAAACTACTTAATGCGATAAATGAATAAAAATATAGAGCAATAACCCATCATTTACTTTTTATCAAATACATGTGGTGTTTTATTTGGGTAAGAACCTGGACATATAGTCAACATCTAGAAGGAAATCACTGGTTCCCCTGAAGAGGTGTTCAATTAATTCCAGAGCTTGATCAAATATGCCGAAGCTTGGCCAACTATACCTGAGCTCATCACGATTCTGATGAGTTCTCCAAATATTCTATATAAGCTTGGCTGGTGAGAGTGTCTTGAATATGCCCGACAAACACTCTTCTCTATGTGTCCTTTCACACTTGACACAAGTAATCATACTGCTGCTATTACTGCTGTCAGTGCCACTACCAATACCACTTCTGCTAGGTCGAGGTTTCTTCATACTAGTCTGTCCAGACTAGACACTGGGTGGCCCGTCCAGACCCAGACCTGTCATCTCCTCTCCTTCTCTGAAAATCTGTCTTTGCGTAGCCAGCAAATCAATCTCTATCCTCTTCGCCTTCTCCACATGAACTGAGTAATCCTCAATGCCAAGAGGAATTAAAGGCTGTCGAATGACATCCTTCAATCCAGAGAGAAATCAGTGTCACTTTTCTTCGGCATTTGGGATCAACTGAGGCAATCTACCTTCTGGCTTAAAGAGGTATGAACCAGTCACAAAAAGTCTTCACAGAGCCCTCTACTGTATCTGACTACCGGGTTGTTTGCCAAACTTCTCTTAAAGCTGGCCCTACCAGGCTACCACCACCTTTTTGCTTCCCCCTCGAAAGCAAAAACAACTAATCTGACCTTTCTCTCCTGAGGACATGACAAACTCTTAATGATTTTCTCTACCCTCAATAATCAGCTCTCCACCTCAATTGACCCTCCTGCTCTTGAGGATAGTGGTAGCCGCATGTTCTGGAACAACTTCAGATATTTATCCATCCAAGCTGTTCCACTACCGCTGGCCCGTGTATGAGAATTCTAAATAAGTTGCGTCACTGTGGCCATCATCTGAGTAAACGCCTTCATATGGACGCTAACACCACTGGATGGAGGATTAGTATTTACTGGAGGCACCCGATCCCGATAATCAGCACCTCTTACATCTCTATCATTTTCATCTGTATCCTCTGGATCAAAATCAATTGCCTTTAGATAACAAAATTTTGAATTATTAATGTAAACTTTTAATTAATTTTTTCTAATTGTCTTAAGAAATATTAATGTTTTTTTTCTAATGAATTTTTTCCATTCACTTACTGCAGTTAATTGGGCTCTGATACCATTTTTGTCATGGTCTGACCCAGTGATTATGGAATTATCAAGGCGGGAAGTGATGGTCGGAGGGAAGAAACATATATATAACAATTTCATTTCTTAACATAAAATCAAACCCAATGCATAAAAGAACCATTCTATACAAACTTATATTTACAATAAATTGTTCATATTTAAACATTTACATTCAGATTGAAAATAAACTAAACTACAATACCTATCAGCTGACGTTTCACTGCGCCTGTATACGCGCTCAATGAGTTCCGTCTAATTTACAACTGATTTTCCTATAAAAATATTAGGAATTATGGTATGCGTTAAAACTACTCAATGGGTAAATGTTGTTAAATTACAAGAATTCTCATTTTTAAAATATTTTTTGTATAAGTGCAATAACAGTAGAAGCTCTGCAGTAAAAGAGAACACTAAAATAAACAATTTAATTTTCTTTTATTAATTTACGTTACATTTTTCATAATTAGGAGTTACCGTTTAAACATTTACTTTATAAAAATATACATTTAACATTTTCTAACCCACCATAAAGGTAGACAACTTTTTTCATTTTCATTTTTATTTCGTGCACGAGTATAATTTATTTCCCTACTAGTACCATCCAGGTGTTACTCATATATGCATGCGTATATCATATTTTATTCATTTTTATTTTACATTTAACATCTAAATAAAAACTTATGATTAACATTTAAAAGGAAACATGGGAATTTGCATTTTAAAGTAAAAGCTAGGAAAATAATAAAAATATGTGTAAATAAACAGAACCATTATAAAATAAAAATATATTACCCACCCCAGCGATGTTGTTTGTTATCATTTTCCTCTGGTCAATCTAATCATTAGGTGCACCTATAGTAAAAATTTAAATGTAATTAACTTCTTATATAGTGCTAATCTTCTTTTTTATTAATTCTAAAGTCTCTACTAGTATTTTAATAATTTATTTATTTAATTAACTATTTATTTACTTATATATATATATGTAATATCTGAACATACTCTAAAATATGTTTAGATATTTTAAAATTGGACTTTCCCATGAGATGTGGTCTCATATTCTAAAATAATTTTAATTATTTATCCATCTGACCACTTTTGCTGAAACTGACCTCAGTCTGAGAGTTCTTAATCAACTGTGTTATTGTAGTCGTCATCTCAATAAATGCATTTATATTCACAGTAATATGTGGAGGTGCATCAACTTCTACCATATCATTTCTAGCTTCTTCCCTCTGATTTTCTATATTTCTGAAATCATGAAAGAAAGATTTCCCATTTAATTACGTCGAAAGAATGGACGTAATTGGACTTTCCCACGAGATGTGGTCTCATATTCTAAATTAATTTTAATTATTTATCCATCTGACCACTTTTGCTGAAACTGATCTCAATCTGAGAGTTCTTAAGCAACTGCGTTAATGTAGTCATCATCTCAATAAATGCATTTATATTCATAGTAATATGTGGAGGTGCATCAACTTCTACCATATCATCTCTAGCTTCTTCCCTCTGATTTTTCATAATTATGAAATCATGAAAGAAAGATTTTAATTAGAAATAATTTAACCCTCTATTAAGACTTCTAGTAAATTAATCTAATCATTCTAATGACTCTTTTTTTATCATGATCCAACCAAATTTTTTGTAATGTTATTTTTATCACGACCTGACCCGGGGCTTAGAACTAATAAGACGGGAACGGTCGGTCGATATTAGCATTTAAACAACTCTCCATTAAACTATAAAATCTTCCAAAATATAAAAGAGTCGTTAAAATCCACCAAATGCAATAATATCAAAACATTTAGAAATATCTTCTATAGACAATATTCTCAAACCACACCAACAGTATATCAAAATCTAAAAAAAATAGTGCAAAAAAAATAAAAGAAATCAGAACAATATGTCTACCTCTGTAGACCTTTTGTAAACTAAGTTCTGTCTATCGGACTTTTCAAGCTACCATTACTTTTTTTTTTCTTGAAAGAGAATTAAATTCAACTCTAAATTTGACTTAGTGAATAATTATAATCTTAATATGCATTAAATTATTATGTCAATGTTATGTATGAATGACCAAAAGAAAATGCAATTCATTTTTTTTATAAAATTTAAAACTTTTATGTTAAATTTATTCATTCCCTTTCACTTTAACTATTTACCATTTTTAACATTTTTAAGATTTATAACAGGATTACTTTCATGCATGAAGGTATTCTAAAAAATCTATTCAAAGATATCCTAAAAAATATACCTTAAAAAAATGTACCGATAGGTTCACTAAAAAAAATACCCGAAGATACACTCATATTGCACTCGAAGTGCAATTTTGCCATTTACTTTACCGTGCATGGTGCATTGCATCCCCTGTCTGTACAAGTTGAGGTTAATATTATGTGACTTAAATTTTTTACTTTTCATTTCATATAAATTTAAAATCATTTAAAATGCACCTTTATATTTAAAATCATTTATAGGAGGATGTTCCTTGGTGTATGCTTTTCATTGATGATATCCTTCTCGTGGATAAAACTAGAGAAAGCTCAGGAAAAACTTGAATTATGGAGGTCTACATTGGAGTTTAAAGGCCTTCGTTTGAGTAGAACTAAAACTAAATACATGAAATGTAATTTTAGTAGTAGTGGCTTTAGTGTCAGAGTTGTAACTATGGGTGATCAAATTATTAAAAGGTGTGAGCGTTTTAGATAGCTCTAGTCTATTGTTCAAAGTGATGGTGATATAGATGGGGATGTTAGTAGAATTCAAGTTGGTTGGTTGAAATAGAGGAATGCTTCGGACCTATTGTGTGCTAGAAAAGTACTGCTTAGACTCAAAGGAAAATTTTATAAGATGGTGGTAAGACTTGCAATGCTCTATGGCACTGAAAGTTGGCCTTTAAAAGAGAAGCATTAAACTAAGTTAAGTGTTGTCGAGATGAGAATGCTTAGGTAGATGAGTGGCTTTACACTTAGAGACAAAATGCGAAATGAATATATCCGTGATAGGGTTGGTGTAGCTCCAATGGCGGACAAAATTAGAGAGAGCCGTCTTAGATGGTTTGGTCACATTAAATGTCGACCATCAGATGATCTGATTAGGAGAGTAAATGATTAGGAGGGTAGATGTTTTAGATTCGACTTATGTTAAGAAAGGTAGAGGTAGACCTAGAAAGATTTGGGCATATTGTAAAAAAAATTGATCTTAATTTAGTAGAATTAAATGAAAATATGACACTCAATAGGACGCAATGGATAAAAAGGATTCATTTAGCTGACGTCACTTAGTGGGATAAAGGTTTGTTGTTGTTGTTGTTGTTGTTGTTGTAGCTTGAAACCTAGTGAAAATAGTAGGGCAAAAATAGATTTTTTTTCACTCTTGCCTCTTCTGGTATATAGAACTTGAAATCATTTATCCACTAGAGAGCCGATACTCTTAATGCTTTATTTAAAATGAGAAATTGTTGTATTTAATAATCATCATTTTGATCACCAATAGGAGGTTGGGGCTTTTTGAGAACACAGTATTCTTAGCGGTAATATTAACATTTGATGATGTAACCACCAAGGAGCTGACGAGGACAGGAATATCGACAAGTATCACTCGTAGAAAATTTGAATTTGGCACCAGGTTTTGGAAACAACATCTAAACAAATGAAGATGGATCTTCCATTGAAGGGTTTGGAGGGTCAATATGAACATTTAATTAAAGGTTCTTCGGCTGAAATTGAGGATTTTCAGCTCGGGATCAGCCTTAAAATACTTATAGACTTTATTCTAGAAATATGGTAAGGGGGGTATGATTGAATATTTTCAAGTTTGACTTTCTGCCAATATCTAATTGATGGAGGCCCAATCCATACCTGCTTTTGAAAGAGGACGGTAATGTTAAATCCAGCAAGACTAGCCAAAGAGAGCCTAGTAAAATTATTTGTTGCAACGTCTGTCTTTAAATATTTTTCAGAAATAGAAGCCAAGGAGAATAGAATGGATTTGTTGTAGTAGCGTAGACAAAGATGTGGAAATGAGATTCAAAATGGAGTAACATGAGGCTTTACCGTGCAAGTAAAATGGGGGAACCATTTCAACACGCTTATCAGGAGGCTTTTGATATAATATGAACACTATGAGAAGAGGCTGATGTAATTTGTTTTTAAAGAAAACTTTATAATGAATGTTGTCGGTTGATACCGAACAAAATTGTAATTTATCAGTTGTAGACCAACGAAGAACTTGCAAATTACCTTCTTGCTAGGAAGATTCATAGAAAATTTGTTTATAAGCAACAAGAGGAGAAGTCTAGCAAGCACAAAAATGTCCTGATCAGAAAAAAGAGTATGCTTGCTTTAAGAAGTATAGGCTATTTACGTTGAATAGCCTCTGAATTCTGATAAAAAATGTAGAATTTGGTAAAAATTGTAACGTTTAAACAACAAAAACGTTTGCAAAATAGTGCAGAGGATGAGTTAGAGGAGTTTCAACACAAGAGAGGAAGGGGATCTACCTCAGAAGTTCTATCGGCCACAAGGGAAGGAGGTGACTTCTTTTTTTTTTCTTTTTGGTTGAGGCTCAACGAAGGTCTCGAGAGAAGTCATTGCACAAGTAGTTATGATCCGAAGCGGCCCTGTCATAACAAAAAATTTAGGAGATCCTTCAATAGTGATCAATGGAAGTGATAGAATACAACCACAAACATGAGAAAAAAATATTTTGCTGGTGAGACAGAAGAGGATGGCACGACCAGGGCTGCTCTAGGAACTAGAGGGACTAAGTATGGATGAGATACCAACGACATGAGGTGTCGTCGGCTTCAATGACAACCAATGGACTCTAAAAATCCAGTGGGAAAGCTACAATGGCATTAGAGTTGCACGAGGAAGCAACAAACATCTGTATGAAAGGCCTTCTGTGGAAGACATTGTGTGGTGACCTAGCCGAGGCTGACCCCTCACGAAAGTGGGAGCATAGAGGTGTGCAAAGTTAGGTGATGGGGAGCGGGTGTGTCTTACTAATCCCTATCATAAAAAATGAAAAGTTGTGCTGTATGCATTATTTTAAGATCAATGGTCGGGAGTTTGCTAGCTAGCTTTATGTTCTATGTGCTTTACATTCTGTAAATGTGCTATAAATTGACATGACTGCAGCCTTTGTAGAAGCAAATATTACAGGTTGTTTTACCGTTTAACCAGCATGATCTACTAAACAATGATCATTGCAAAGCAATATGGTACTTTATTCCATGAATAGACTAAAAATGGTTCACATTAATGAAAACAGGTTTAGCAAAGCTGCAACTTAAATTTTGTATGTAGTTTGTAGTATTTTACATAAATGTTCAGGAATTTTTAATGTATTCTAGATGTTAGTAGCCAAAACTGGAAAGATTCATTGTTCAAGCCATCTAAACTTTGGTTTATGTTTGACCTTACTTTGAAACTAACTTTGTTTCGTGTTGGTTTTGCAACCAGTGACATTGAATTTTAGTTGGGCTTGTTTAGGATAAAAATTAAAGGATTCTAATTACAGCTTTTATTGTGCTAAGTTTGGATTAACTTTTATAGTTATTTATGGTTTGAGAAAGCTGAAAACATCGAAAAGGGTGTTTGCCTGCACTGTCTCTGAAGAAACTCTCCCATAAAAAAACTCTGTTTCCACATCATTTCCCATACCTGGTTGTCCTATGCTTTTCACAATCCGACCTCATTCTGCTTTTTTTCAAGATGCAAAGTGCCTAATTTTTTTCTTTCACAATTATCAAAATTATCATCATTTTTATTTCTTTACCTCTCACCACTCTACCCGCTCTCAATAAAACATGAAAAGCACACGATACCTTCACTGATTGCATTGTAAGGGACACATCATTTAGATTTATTACTTTTTCGAGATGGATGCTATTTTGTTATTTGTTTTTTAGGATCTCCTTTGGGCGCTTCATTGCACCCCATTTATTTTAAAATTTACCTGTCATTGATTATTCTATTTTTTAGTATGAGAATTTGTTAGATTGTTTTCTATTTTTAATTTGTTGTATTAGGCATCTTAATCTTTTATTTTCATACAACAGTTTCTTAACCAACAAAACCAACAGTAACAACCAAGCGAAAGGAGGCCTTTATTTGGCCTTGTATTCTGTATCAGTTTTGATTTGTCTAGTAATTGTTTATGTGCTTACCTCCATACTCAGATTAAGCTGCTGGCCAAGAGTTTTCCAGAGTTTTCCAGAATGTTAATTATTTTCTGTAAATGTTTGAGTTGTCTTTATTATTACATGTATCACTTAATACGGTTGCTTGCCTCTCATCCTAGATCACCTTTCTATTGGTGATCACAAACTAATTGGCTCTCTTAAGTGATAGCTTTAAATTCTCTATCTTACAAGTATTGGCAGACATGGATGGTGGTTCTAGCAGAGGCGGCACTAGTGCTGACGTGATATTACCCAACTACAAACTTGGGAAGACTTTGGGAATAGGTTCTTTCGGCAAAGTAAAAATTGCAGAACATGCATTAACTGGTCACAAGGTCGCCATCAAGATTCTTAATCGCCGAAAAATAAAGAACATGGAAATGGAAGAAAAAGGTATAGCTATATTAAGTTATGGGCTTTATTTATTTGATATTTTAGATGCTTTCACCTTCACCTGACGCATCTTTGAACTCCTGATATCAATTTTTATTCAGGCTGTATTTTAGTTTACTTGATGCTTATTATAGAAGTTTCCTTTACTTAATGCCCTAAGTTTCTTTTCTCAATCAATCTTTCTTTTCTGAGATGTTTATTGTTTGAAATTATCCGTTTTATGGTTTTTTTTCCATCTATTATTATACCGAGTTCATCTGCATTTGTGCTTGTATGCTGGATTCCAAATTCATCTGTTCTCATTTTATGTGTAGGTGCACCTCATGCATGTTGCAGAGTGGCGTTTAAAACATGTTTATGAGTGTTTTTTCATTGATTATAAGATATAATGAGAGCATTCTAAATCTTAGATTATTTTTGTAGATTCTAATTTATTCTCTCCGACTACCGAATGTAGGGAATTATGATCATATATAAAAAAAAAGACCCATTAGGTTTGGCTTTTACTTTAGAAGTTCGTTCTTTTGTGCGACATTATGTTTAGATTAATCTTTTCTTATAGTCTGAAGTGGGTTATATTGAGCTTTTCATCATAAACTTATTAGCTGAATTTTTTTATGCTCTGTAATTTTTAACTTATTGTGTTTTTTGCCTCTTCTTATATTGCAACAATTTAAACTTTAGTTTTCTCAGTTTTTTCTTAATTCATTGCAGTAAGAAGAGAGATCAAAATACTAAGATTGTTTATGCATCCTCATATTATACGCCTTTATGAGGTTATAGAGACACAATCAGATATCTATGTTGTAATGGAATATGTGAAATCTGGTGAACTTTTTGATTATATTGTTGAGAAGGGCAGATTGCAAGAGGATGAAGCTAGACGTTTTTTCCAGCAGGTGAGGGTATTGTTATTCTTTTTTTCCTTCCTGACTTAATCCATGCCTCTGTTAGTTCTAGCTTTATTACGTGTTTTCATTTCTTGTATAAAGCTTTCTGTGGGATGAATTTTCTTTTTGCTTGCAAGATACCTGTAGCACTATTGATTATGTTCTTGATATGTTAGTGTACTTCTTATGATAATGTTAGTCTTATTTATTTTTTTTATTTTTGAAGTTAATCTTTTATTGGGTTTGTTTTATTTTCATTTCATGATGATTTGATGTTATCTACATTTCAGGAATTTTCTTTACTTTGCTATGACAATCTCAATTTGTTAATTTTATTTAATATGCCATAGATTTATAGTTAATACCTATTATATATTTCTGGTTAAAAATAGTTTGTTTTGATGTCAGCAGATAATTTCTGGTGTTGAGTATTGCCACAGAAACATGGTAGTACATCGAGATCTTAAGCCAGAAAACCTGCTTCTGGATTCAAAATGCAATGTTAAAATTGCTGACTTTGGCTTGAGTAATATCATGCGTGATGGCCATTTTCTGAAAACGAGTTGTGGGAGTCCGAACTACGCTGCTCCAGAGGTACAAACTCTGTTGTCTTGCTATAGGATCCTTCGTGTATATGCGATAGAATATTCATTCAAAATTGTCTTCCATATTTAGGTTATTTCTGGTAAACTGTATGCTGGGCCAGAGGTTGATGTTTGGAGTTGCGGTGTTATTCTTTATGCTCTTCTCTGTGGTACTCTTCCGTTTGATGATGAAAACATACCAAACCTCTTTAAGAAAATAAAGGTAAGATACCAACTTACACCTAATGTGCTTATTGGCTCCTGACATCTAACATGTTACAAGTGGCTTACTTTTGTGCACACTTATATATGTTAGGGTGGGATATATACCCTTCCTAGTCATCTTTCTTCTTTAGCAAGGGATCTAATTCCAAGGATGCTTGTTGTTGATCCGATGAAGAGAATGACTATTCGCGAGATTCGTGAACATCCATGGTTCCAGGCTCGTCTTCCTCGTTATCTGGCTGTGCCTCCCCCTGATACAATGCAACAAGCTAAGAAGGTTTGCTTTTTGTTGCACTTCGATTTGGCTACTTTTCATGAAAGCTTGATTCAGTCTACTTACTGGTTTTGTTTTACTGAAGCGCACATACTCTGATGCTTTAGGTTATATCATCCATACTGCATTGTTAAAATGCTGGCCATCCACATATTACTATAAATTCTCCTAGAGGATTTTCCGACATTATAATTTACAGAAGGATGATTTTGCATTGTTGAGATTCTTATAATCCGGCATAATTCCATGGCATGTAACATTTACGCTTTTAGGTACATGCTAAGGAGTTATCATTACACATGTTTTTGTAAGCAGCCACGATCTAACATATATTCTTGCTAGTTTCCACGATTAACTGGATATTGGTGACTTTTCCTAAATTCCTTTGTGAATATTCGTAAAGAATCGAAGTTAACCATTAAATTAGCTTGCAAGTGTCATGATTTTGCAGTATCTCCTTTCAATGGATGGTTGTGTTGAAGTTTCATAATGCAACATGCGATTTGTTGTATAAAACCTTTCTTATTGTCTGACCTTATCTATATTTCATTTTTTAGGCAAAATGTTTGGCATCCTACAGATCTCTTGTGCTATTTCTTGTTGGCTTCCTATTATGATCTGTTAGGATCTATTTCTATAACAAATAAAGTTTGGTGATTTTGATCCATCACAAGCTCCTTATCATAATGATCAAAGCTTATTACCACTATTATGGTTGGGCTTAAATCCTTGGCCTCCATTCATTTGTGTTCAATACTATGTTAATTCTAGTTTCGACAAGCTGTTTTTTAATTGATAACTTTGTTACCTCTTGCATACCTATTCTGCCTTCTATTCCTTTCATGGTATGCTCTTTTATTGTATTATACTTGTGAAAACAAACCAAATTAGTTGCTGCAATGTTATCTTTAATACGTGCTACTCTCAAAACATTTATACTATAATAATTTTAGTTTTTACCTTTTCTAATTTCACCATACAATTATTTTGATTTGCTCATTTTGGTTGCATTCAACTTAATTTTTAGTGATTACTGTAGTGCACATTGTTAGGACTTGTACAACATAATCACACTTGCTATCATTTATATAGCTTATGCTTGATTGCCGAATTATTATGTATTCTTGTGGAACTAACGATTTTAGCCTGCTAGTTTTGACCTTACAAGTCATTATTATATGTCTCCCCAATTCCCCGCTAAAACAGTTTTCTAAATGTAATGCTTTTGGGCATATTATTAGTTCTTCATCATTATTGGTTGTTTATTATCAGTTATATGCATATTAGAGTTGTATATTAAGTATATTAAGTATAAAGTCTTTGTTATACTGATTTGTCGGTCAACTTTTTTGAAGATTTGAAAAATAATTTTGAAATTTAATTTAAATATAAGAGGTATATATTTTTGGTTTTGAAAGTAGCTCTTTTTAATTTTTGAAAAATAAAACTAAATGGTTCTCATTCGTACAATAGTTTGCATAGTCGTGTCTGATACCGTGAATACTACACATTCCGAAAGGTGAGTGTATATTCCGACGACAGACCCAATCCTGCAAACTAAGAGATTTGTGATATCCGTTTGGTCTGCGAACCTTTTATATGTGACCGACAAGTTTTCCTACCTATTATAAAAATTAAGTAGGGTTTATTTTACCTGAGTTCTAAGTTTCCTATAGAGACAAACCCCTATAGTTAATTACATTCTAAATGACGGGAGTAGCTTAAGAAAACTCTCGATAATGATCAGAGGTATTAGTTTTCAAGAATTCGAGGTTTAGATTTTCACTGTAGAATGTGGAAAGACAAATGGAAGTGGCTCAAATAGGAACATTTATTTTCAGGAGTCCAAAAGGAGGAAAAGCTAGGTGATGTCGCAGATCCCGAGGAGAAACTTCAATGACTTCCTACACTATCCTAATGTGTGACTAAGTTTTAGAGACGATGTTATTTAGATGTTTAATCTTGCAAATTTTATTATATGAGACTTATATTTGTATAATATTCGATTATGCAAATAGCCCGCAGAGATAAGAGGGTTTATGTCGTGCCACAAGACAACCTCAGAACCTAAGACGAGTTAGGACTTACACTGCACAACATAGTTGCACAGGTGCCTAAAGAGGGTGTGAGGATTTGTCTTGCTAGGCGAACTACCTCGAAGTCCTATGAGAGATTGTTGAAGAAGATTTTCTTGTCGCTTGATCCAAGCTTCTCTTCGTGTTGCCCTCAAAGTTGGCTCCAAGCTCCTGTTGTAGCGATGACTCCCGGGTTTAAGTGTTTGAGAATAGTGGTTTATATTTCACAGTTTTGATGTCAAAGTTTGATTTTGTTTTGTTTTTATTTTTTGTTTCAATTCTGGTTTTACATGCAGAATAAACAAATTGCAGGTAAATAAAAGACACTTGAAAAGCAAAATGCGGTAAATTAAAATGTTGTAGATAAACTGTAAAAGCGTACTTGAGAATCTGCTACTGTTGCGTGACTAATATTGCAAACATAGTATGATTTACAGCAGATTTAAATAAACTTGCAAGAAAAATAAACAAGACGAGAAAATCCAGCACGAAAGTCAGAAAAATGAGTCGTAGAAATCATAAGAAAAAAAAACTCTTAGCCACATATGAAAGACTAGGACTGGGTGTAAGACATTGGTGGAAGTGGGGGCTCAGAGCTGGACCGTGTGCTTCCGGATCTTAAACAAAAGTTACCAGTTTGACAATCTACGGAGGGCAATCCTTAATCTTAATTCAAGTGATTAGTCGTGGACCTTTATAAATTTTCATAGAAAAATTCTTTGATTTTCATGCAAAAGCTATTGTTTAAGCTTTTTTTATGCATAGTTTTTTTTAACATGCAAAAGAGATTTTTGTTTTATTTTTGTAAATTTTTTGTAAAGTCGTGTAGTCTACAGGCTAGTCACTCTAATCGTGCTAGAACTACTGACAACCTAAAAGCATCGGGGGCAACGATCTCACCAAGAATCGGCGAATATTATCATCGATCATTCCCTCTCCCTTATTGAAGATCATTGAGGTAGTAGATATTATTCTAATAATCCCACTTCGTATCCCTCGTTTAAGCACACATAAGCAATGTCATCATCACTCTCGCCACCTAGACCCTAGACTTATCCTAGTCTGTTGGTCAATATGTGGCATTAACAAATATCCCCAATTGGCAGAAGGATTTGAGTGTAATATCCAAGCTCAAATCCTAGTGCATTGGGTTTCACTGTAGATGAAGTCATGACGGGAATTCCACTATTTGATTTAATCGAGGAAGTTGTGAACCATATCTTGGTGCATTCTCTTGTATAGTATTTTGATCGATTTGTGGATTATGATCAAGTGCCTAATTTCATTATTCATTCGAAAATTTAGTAGATGAACGCTCACCTAGGGTGTGCTCTTAATGAAACATACACTAAAAATTAGGTAGATTAACTTTCACCTTTAGTGTGCTCCTAAAATCTAGGAAGTTTATATTGAGAATTAGGTGGATTGACTCTAACCTAGGGTGTGCTCATAAAATATAGATAGCCTATACTAAAATTAGGTAGATGAATTATCACCTACGGTGTGCTCTTAAAATTTAGGAAGTCAACACTGAGAATTAAGTAGATGGACTCTCAGTTAGGGTGTGCTCCTAAAATCTAGGAAGCCTACACTGAGAAATAAGTAGATAAACTCTCACATCATGTGTGCTCCTAAAATCTAAGAAACCTACTGTGTTTAAAGTGATTTAAGATGTTCTATCCTCAATTAAATGTTTTCCAACTAATCCTCAAATATTTCTAAGTGTTTTTCAAGTAATTAAAGCAAAAAATTATCATTTTTTTATTTAACCATTGGGAAAGAAGCAAAACAAAAGAAAAAAAAAAGGCATGTCGACCCACCCCCAAAACTAGCAACCAAAAAGGGGGAAGCATAAAGTGAATCGGTCCTGAAAGCGCCTCAATTCTCTCAACAACTGTAATTAAATAGAATATCGAGAAGAGTGCTCAAGTATATTCCAAGACAGTGTTTTGATTGGCCCAAAGGGTGTTTAATGCCTTCTCCAAAATAAATATTATTGCAAGCCCAAACAAAACCAGGTCTCTTGTGTTTCCCAAACTCAACGAGTTCATAAGGCAAAAAGTAGTTCCCAAATGTCTGCCAGCAACACTATAAAAGCCTCAAAAAGAAACCGCACTGATTAAAGCATCATAAGGATCTCAAAATCAGTATTGAGTTCAAGGAACCACAACAAAACTTTCCAGCCCCTTGACAGCCACCGAACAAGCCCAAATAGTGCAGCTCGGCAGCCACCAAACAAGCCCAAACAGTGCAGCCCGGCATCTACCTACAGTAACTTCTAGGCTCCGACAGTATTTATATGACCCCAAAGAGCATCTATATGAGCCCAAACATCAACACAACACTTAAACAACTACCTACTGCAGCTTCTAGGCTCCGACAGCACTCCAAACAGTTACCTACAACATTTTCTAAGCTCTCACAGCACCCTGCACAGCTCTCACAGCTCTCCAAATAGTTCTCACAGCACCCTAACAGCTCTCACAACACCCTACATCACTACACAATATTTTTAACAATTCTAAACAGCAAAAGAAACATCCTCGAAACAGTCCCAAGCGACAATTTTAAAGTCTACAAATCCCTCTCCAAAACTGTGAATATGGTGCCCAAAACAGTGAGAAACTTTCACAAAATACTCCAAAGCAACACTTAAATTTGTCTCAAAATAGTGTGTAAACCTCTCCAAATCAGCACTTTTGCTTCTCCAAACTACATAATTTTCTTTTCAAATTGAACTCATACAATCTCATATATTTCCATAGCTTTTTAAGCATGAATACAATGATATTAAAGAATATTTCATTCAGAGCTACTCTAAGTATGACTAAGTATATGTAGCCCAAATACACGAGATTCATCACATGGTTGACCAAAAATTATACAACTGAAACTTGAATCCAAATTTATCTAATCCTACATGAAAGC